GTTTTTTTTTTTTTTTTTTTTTAACTGAGTAGAAATGGTTTTTGAACCAAGCAAGAAAGGTTTTTTAACCGAGGGAGAAATGATTTTTGAACCAAATAAGAAACGGTTTTTTAACCGAGTAGAAATGGTTTTTAAACCAAGTAAGAAACGGTTGTTTAACCGAAGGAGAAATGGTTTTTGAACCACACAAGAAACGGTTTTTTAACCGAGAGAGAAATGGTTTTTGAACCAAGTAAGAAATGGTTTTTTTAACCGAGTAAAAATGGTTTTTGAACCAAGCATGAAACGGTTTTTTTAACCGATGGAGAATTGGTTTTTGAACCAAGTAAGAAACGGTTTTTTAACCGAGTAAAAATGGTTTTTGAACCAAGCAAGAAATGGTTTTTTAACCAAGTAAGAAACGGTTTTTTAACCGAGAGAGAAATGGTTTTTGAACCACACAAAAAACGGTTTTTTAACCAAGAGAGAAATGGTTTTTGAACCAAGCAAGGAACGGTTTTTTAACCGAATAGAAATGGTTTTTGAACCAAGCAAGGAACGGTTTTTTAACCGAATAGAAATGGTTTTTGAACCAAGCAAGGAACGGTTTTTTAACCGAATGAAAAATGGTTTTTGAACCAAGTAAGAAACGGTTTTTTAACCGAGTAGAAATGGTTTTTGAACCAAGTAAGAAACGGTTTTTTAACCGAGTAGAAATGGTTTTTGAACCACACAAGAAACGGTTTTTTAACCGAGAGAGAAATGGTTTTTGAACCAAGCAAGAAACGGTTTTTTAACCGAATGAAAAATGGTTTTTGAACCAAGTAAGAAACGGTTTTTTAACCGAAGAAATGGTTTTTGAACCACACAAGAAACGGTTTTTTTTTTTAACCGAGTGAGTCAAGTTGCCACGGTCAAACAACCGAGCTAGTTTTGAGTGGCTACGGTCAAACGACCGAGCAAGAAATGGTTTTTTAACCAAGTAAGAAACGGTTTTTTAACCGAGAGAAATGGTTTTTGAACCAAGTAAGAAACGGTTTTTGAACCGAGTAGAAATGGTTTTTGAACCAAGCAAGAAATGGTTTTTTAACCAAGTAGAAACGGTTTTTTAACCGAGTGAGTCAAGTTGCTACGGTCAAACGACCGAGCTAGTTTTGAGTGGCTACGGTCAAACGACCGAGCAAGAAATGGTTTTTTAACCAAGTAAGAGACGGTTTTTTAACCGAGAAGAGAGATTAAGAAACTTCCCTGAACATATTGGATGTCCTTGCTCGGCAAGAGTCAAGTGTCCTTCATGTTGCACATTTATCAATAGGCTGACAACATGATTTGCATAAAGTTTAGTGACTTGAGAGCATCACTGAGGAAAATTCTCGAATCATTGCAGTAGAGTATAAGCACCATGACTGTTGAATCAAGCTTTTGCTTTTCTCTGCAACTTTCATCTCATTTTCAGATTTGTCAAGAGATTTCAGTTAAATAAAGCAACTATATTAACTGAAATAAAGCATCATAACCAATCAGCCTCCCAATCTAAACAAGGAAAAGAAGGCTAGGGCATGGATAATATGTATGGATAGAAAGAGATAAACATGATTTTTGAATTGCACAACTTTTGATGCAACAATTTTAACAAGGCTAGAAGGCATTCAGGCTATAAAGCATTTGCTTCAAGAATTTATTTCTTTTGCAACTCCACCAATCCAGTCTTTAGCATATGAGACAATGTCTACTTTCATGTCAAGGTGGACAAATCCAATCTATCTCCTTCCCATGAACTAACCTTCAATGTTTAGAAGACCAATCATAAACCATCAAGCTAACTAGCTTGGACT